ATCTCTCGCCTGCGGCTCGAGATTGTAATTCCCATACAACACGGCCGCTCATGTTGTAAACTATACAAAAAGAATTTTTCCGTGCTTCTGTACTCTAATAGACACACATCTTAGTATTAATTTTGTACGATTAATGTCAATGATATAATAACATGTTTAGGTGGATTTTTCAGTTCTTAAAATCTCCTTCGGTGCTAGCTTCGACGATACCACATTTTTGTGATTCCACAAGTGCAGTTTTTTTTTTTTTTTTTTTTTTTTCACTTTTGAAATAGGTGTATATCTCAAATCTCGAAAAGCGAAAGCGATTATCCCGATTTTTTCCCTTGAGTTTTCAAAGTGTGTAATTTTAAAGTCTGTTCATATAAAGTTTCATATTAATATCTTATTAACCGAGCGCGAGGGCCGTACGGGAAGTTATGGACCGAGTTTTTTTTCACTAACTTATGGCCAGAGCGCGTAGCGCAGGGGCAATAAAAAGTGAAAAAAAAACGAGGTTCCATAACTTCCCGTACGGCTCGAGCAAGCGAGGTTATTAAGATATTTATTATATGGCATTTTCAGGGGAAAATAGTAAAATCAATAGAGAAAATCGGACATAAAAATACGTTTTCGTTCGTACTTTTCTTGTCATTCAAAATAGAAGGAAAAAAGTAAAGCCTGACAGAAACCTTGATGGCAAAATTTGGATTCATTTTTGACTCATTTTTATACAGTACAACTACAAAACGAGAGACAGCGAGCCTTTTTAAGATAAAAAACGTTTTTTCTCTTTTCATCTGGTCCGTACGGGAAAGTATGGCCCGCTTTTTAGCCAATGAAATCGTGTGTTACATCCGAGCTATATAATAAAAACGAATATCACAAATATATTTTTTCCGCGACAATTTCGTCTCGGAAGAATATGCTAAAATGGCATAAAATGAGAAAATTACCTTAATACTTTGACGTGCTTGCTCTTAAGTTATTGCAAAAAGTTAATGTTCTAACAACTGATATACGTGTTAACTGTTAATCTTACTTTGCTTGGTAATATTCCGGTAGTCGGCATATAACAGAGCACGTCCACTCGTTAGATGCAAATATATTAAAAAAAAAATCGAAATATGCGTGGGACAATTATAAAGAATAATCCTTCCCTCTCTTTATATTTCGCATCTGAAGGCTGCTAACAAATTTTACATCATTGTTTGACTATACAATGAATTTCTGGCAGGAAAAGCATTTTCATTTATTCATTGTGATGCAAAATAATTTCACGGATAAAACACTTGCTTTTGTGTCCAGTAACCTTTCTTTCGCGCCACTTTGATTAAACGAATTAATAGGAATAATCGTGTATTTTGCTAGCCTCTCTCTGTTTTATGATACAAATTTTAATGACAGTTTTTAATTCTCAGTTATTTATATTCTAACTATCATATACACACACTGCCCTGCCCTGATTCAGCTCTTAGCTACTTGCAGGACAGCTGCCACCCACCAAAATCAATTCAATTCAAGCGTGTTGATTGAATTCCGGAATAAATATGAATACTTCAGTCGCACGTGGATGACATAACAGCGACAACATACAAAATTCAAACCTTTTTTACGTCGTTTTAGTGTTAGTCTTAGTCCTATGTCATGAGGTTGTGACTTGCCTATACTTACATTGGATTTCGTTGCTATACATGTTGTTCCGTGCAAAGCAACAAAAATCAAATAATAATGTCTAATCCTAGTGAATAATACTCGAATAAAAAATGGAATAAAAATGACTACATTTTCTTTTATTGTCTCTTGACGTAGGACCAACAAGGATTTTGAACCAATCACGGGCCGTGTTATATGTGCGCGCGTTCTGATTAATTGTCCACAAATAGATCATATTGACATCTGATGGCGACAAGGAACACTTTTGGTAGGTTATTCACTGCAAAATTTTCAAAATCCACCTATGTAATTTTGAAATTATTTTGTTAAATAACGTTACTAGGTATGTAAATGAATAAATAAATAAATAAATAAATGATATCATATTTCATATTTTTCCTCTATTAACTGGACACTTGTGTTTTGTCGAAATTTCGCGACAATAGACCAGTGCTTAGTTAAGCTTTGGCAAAACAGAACAAGTTTTAATGTTTGACTATGAGTAGCCATGACGAGCTTTTAAATTGACAAGTCGTTCGACTGCTCTCTATAGAAAAAGTCAAAAAAAAAAAAAACACACCAAAACTACAGGAAGACGTTATTCAGAAACACACAAAGTGTTTTATAAATTAAGTCTTTTATTTTGAGAGGGTAGCACGTAATAGTCTCTAGACTAATAAACTTGTGGCCCTCTATATATTCACTCATACTCACTACCTCAACATTCATTATTTTACTACACGACACTCCTCACAGCTAGTTTTTGACTGAGATAATGTCAAATCTCGAACTGAATCATAATCAATCTCGTTCTAGCTGTAGTTGTCAAAGACTGAACAGGGTCGTATCCAGGATTTTCATTTGGGGGATCCTCACTTACCAAATTGTCACTGTGACGYCATATGACGTCAGTATGATGTCATATCAWTCTATAGTTTTCCTGCTTTTTTGGCTTTGAAAGGGGGGTTCACGGGCACCCTGTGACTCCCCTGGTTAYGCCCTTGCTGAAKCTCCATGCAACGTCGACAACGYAACTACAACTGGTCGTTTTTATTAACCAATTAACCAACCAATCAAGTAACCGACCGACCAAACAAGGAGCAAAGCAACCAACCAACCAATAGGCCTTTCGCATTAAACGGTCACATGGTACAAAATCCTCCATACTGGATGGCAAAATACCCATTGGGATTTTCAAAACAAAGAAAAGTCAAGCTTGACGGGCTGCGTTTCTTTTGTTTTTGAGGTTGTTTACATTCTCCAGTATGGCGGATTTTGTACCATGTGATCGTTTCATGTCATGCATCAAAGATTGTTCATGTACATTGTATTTGATATGCAGTCACTCCGATACATTTTTAAATCCACCTGATTTTAGACCCCTTTATCTGGAGTTGAATTTCAACGCTTGAGGAGATACATGTACACAGACGACAGTATCAGGTGCAAAGCACCAAATAAAATATGTATGTACGTTATATTCTGAAATAGCTGTTCAAGCTGTTTTTCTAAACTTCCACTATAGTCAATATATTGTCAAATTCAAGTTCACCTCCGATGGCTTTCTCGATTTTACTACAAGAGTACAAGACATGTGATTCGTTTTTACGAGTGTCGTTTCTAGCTGTATCTTGTCTCGTCTTCTTGTCATTACTGTTGACCTGGCCATGGAAAATATATACATCGCTTCTTTCGCTTTTTGAAGTAAGGGACTTTCSGCTAGATGGTTTCGTCTCCTTGATATCGCCTTTGGCCTGGAACGCATTGACAATATACGCATTTCTTCTTTGTGTTTTGGAAGAGCTTAGAAAATTCTTGCGAGATAGTTTTACTTGAATTAGATTCCGATCTTTTCCAAATGCTGGGATCTTCTTTCGAACGGCGTAAACTATTGGTTTTAACGCACAATGGCTCCACATAATGATTTGTAAAGCTGTGGCGACATCGTTTGGAATCCGCGACAATTGCATGGCCTCTATTCCTATCATGATTGATGCCGGAAAAACTTGAATCAGACATGAAAGAATCACAATAAATGACGTATAAGCTGAATTAGCGTAAGCATCGACTTGGAGCTTTTGAATATTGGGCAGACTCACTGGCATACAGCCGCAACGGTTGCGCTTAATTTTTTGGACGATATGGTAAATGCTGAAAGTGATTATGGTCAGTGGAAATACAACAATAATCGCTGATAACACTAACAAAGTGAAGTAAATTTCACTTTCCAATAAATGCCCTGAAGAACGTGAAAACCTTGCAGCACATATAAGGAAACCAGGGTAATATCCAATCGCAACTTTGTCGTTTAGCATTGGTAACCAAGGAAATGACGTCATAAAAGCCATTGTCCAACAACCTACGACAATGCATAAAGCAGTGCGTTGCTTTATAAGATGATGGGAGAGTTTTACAACTGCAAAGTATCTATCAAGTCCTATAGCTGCTTGGTTTAGTAGTGTTAGCGCGGTTAAAAATCTATTTAAAAAGGAGTTCGCTATAGCAAAGCCTTTTCCAAGGTTCCAGCCACCTTGGAGGAGTGAAGCGGCACCAAATGGAATGACGAGTAGGGATGTTGCAAAATCAGTAACACACTGACTTGCAATGAAGATGTTTGTTGCTGAGCGTCGTCTACGTCTGTCTTTAGAAATGAGCCACAGAATGAAGCCATTTCCGAGCAACGCAGCAAGAATGATGATGCAAAGTACAATAAACTTGACTTCTTTTCCGTGAACTTTTTCCGTCTCGTTGGATAAAACTAAAGCAATTGTTCTCTTAATCGTTGAATTGCATTTGTTCACCACCCATGATTCATTAGAAGAGTTCGAGCACATTAAGCTACTAGTATTTAGTGTATTCATGTCTGGAAATATCTGGTTTTAACTATAAAGCAACAGACACTAGGGGATCCGTCCTTCAATTGTTTTATCGAAGAATACCTGAAAACTGATGTTGAGAAGATAGCGAGAAAGGCTTGTACAGCAGGTTGAATCTGTAAAATGAAAAAATACGGCATTGTTACTTTAATTATCGCATGCTCACTTATTTAAGCAATAAACGATAGCTTGAAGGGGTTTACTGGCGAAATAAACCGCGCGGGATGGTTGGGAGAACACGAAAAAAGATCAGTAAATCACGAGCCATCAGGCCAGTGATTTACCATTTAGAGTGTTCTCCCAATCATCCCAAGGCGGTTTATTTCGCCAGTAAACCCCTTCAAGCTATCGTTTATTGCTTTTATATTATAGCCGGCGTCCGCTATTTAGACTCATAAGTCTTTCTAGACAGCAGCCTGGTTTACCGGCGAAATAAACTTTTTCTCATGAAATCCGCCAATCAGCGTGCGTGTTAGAATTGAGCTATAATATAAACTAAGGTCGTATAAAAATAAAGAGAATTATATATCAAAATGAAAAGTAAGTAATGCAGACTTCTACACTGGGTCTTTCTGCAGCAAGCCACCTCTGTCAAGTATTGATATTGGGTTGGCTGACTAAATCCAGCGTTCAGTGAGTTCATGATTTGACTATATTCTCCAGTGTTGATCTATCAGTGCATGGCAAAGCATAGGTTCACATTACTATAATCAAATATAAATTCCTGCAAAGCGTTATTTAAACGTTACATTAGAGTAGTTTATAAGGTCTGCGGCACGGTTATAAAATGTAGCGACTTTATTTTATTTATTTTTTTTACCATGTCGCAGTTTAGAAATCCCAAGGGACCCATAATCCAGAGTTCCAAGTTTCGATCCTTGACTCGAGCACGTCTGAAATTTTTTTCTTTTTTTTTCTTTCTTTCTTTTTTTTAACTGAAATATAGGTGTTCTAGTCATGTTAGATTTTTAACGTGGCAATTTGTTTTATTAATTTACGAGCCGCGTTTGTTAAATTTTAGAAACAAGATGATACTCGAACAGGGGCGTCGAACAGAGGATCGCGGGTTCGAATCTCGTCTCGACCCTTTTTTTTTCTTCTTTCTTTTTAAATATAATATAGTATAGTTGTTATAGTCATCTTGATTTTCTGTAGATTTTGTTTAAGAAATTATTTTGCGACCCATTATTTTGATTTTATACAGAATATTATACTCGAATAGCGTGGAACTTAGGATCGCGGCCGTGATTCTCGACTCAGTTTTTGTTCTTTCTTTCTTTTTAACTGAAATGAAGTTGTTATAGTCATGTTGATTTTTTTTCTGTAAATATTCGTTTAACAATTATTTTCGAGCCGTTATATTGATTTGTACAAAGACTATCGTACTCGAATAACGGCGAACTTTAGGATCGCGGGTTAGATTCTCGACTCGATCGCTTCTAAGCGATCCTTTTTTTTTTCCTTTTTTCTTTTTTTAACTGAAATATACTTATTCTCATTTTTCCTGTAGATGCTTGTCTTACATATTTTACACGCAAGATCATAGTGAATAGCGGCGTTGAACTGAAGATCTCGGGTTCGATTCTCGACTCGAGCAGCTTATAAACAATTTTTTTCTTTCTTTCTTTAATTTCTTTAACTTTAAAATATACTCGTTCTTTTTTTCTTTCTAAAAGCAAAGCAAACTTTCATCTTATAAATTCTCTGAGGATAATGCGAATGCAATCTGAATGCTAAATTTTCGCTTCAATGATAAAAATATTTAAAAAAAATGATGTGAAAAGATCATACGCAAAATCTATCAAATCGATCGCGGCGCTGGTAAAAATATATATTAGCGTAACCTGGACACGGTATGTTCCAAGAAGTGGTTCTTGTTTGAGAATGGAAGTGACTATGGCACGCCTCAGTTGAGAGAGTATTATGTAGGAACTCTTTTTTTTGTTTTTTGTTGTTTTTTTTCGTTTACTTATCAAATTTGTGGCATTTTGCTCAAAAAACCCAGGCCATGTGACCACGTTGTCGCGTTTTTATTAGCGTAATAGCTCAATTACTTCGTCTTCGACCAACCCATGAATAAAAAAGAATATGAAACAGCAACTTTAGATGAAAAACGGACTAACATGAACGACGGGAATTAGAAAGAGGTTAGTCTATTCACGCACGATTTTTTCTAATAAAACTGTGTTTTTGAACAGTAACTTTTTAAAATACAATTTTTATCTCTTCTTAACTTTTTTTTTTTTTGAAGTTTTACTTACCTAAGAATATCGATGGAAAATAATTCCTGTATTCTTTGTATAATTCACACTTTCAAATTTCTACAACTACTGCAAAACAAATTCCAGAAATAGAAGTGAATAAATAGTGAATAGGAAAAAAATACAAAGCTATTTTTCAATCTTTTTTGAAAAGCCATCGGCGAAGATTACCTAACCTCGTGGATGGTATATTTTAAAAATGATTTGATAAATAAGGAGCAGAAAAATACTATTTAAGTGACTTAGGTGTTTTTTTTAATTTCCTAGTTATTGCTAAAGTTACCTTTTTATTGTTAAAGTACTTACCTTTATATCAAGTAACTTTACAAAATAAAATCAATCCACAGCAACGGGAACTCTGGGGCAGAATGAAATGTTACCAGTATGATACAACATACCGGCGATCAAACTATTATGCAAATTATCAATCATGATCCAACCTTCTTAACCAATCAATGACTGGCATCGTTTCCATGACTTGGGCGCGGCGTCGTTTAGTGCGTAACCAATTAAGTTCGGTAACAAAAGTAGAAATACCTGTTTTTCACAAAAGATATATTCTTGGCTAAAATAATAAAAAAAGTTTGAAAAAATGTGTCAAGTAGTTGGTCCGTAAGTTTCAAGAAAAAAACAACAACAACAACAAAACAAAACAAAAAATTAACAAAACAAAACAAAACAAAAAAACAAAATCGAAAAAGTTTCAAGCTTTCATTCATGGTCAGTCTTTTGGCTCAATGAGCCATCGTCAGAACTGCTAAAAAAATACACTTGCCAGAACATCATAAAAACATCAGGAACACGTGCTCAATAAACTCATTCGTTATTCCGCACGTGCGGTAACTACTCGCTAATTACACACAAATAATTAGCAATCTGACGAGTCTCATGTTATTTTCTTGGCATCCATCGGAATTTCCTTACATAGATCAATGATGAATTTTTTCTTTAAACATGTTCGTTTAGCTCTGGCCATGGCTTGATGAACCGAAAGTTCAATAACAACAAATAAATAAAAATGTGAAAGATTGTAGTATGTTATAACATAATGGAAAAAGGGGGGAAAGGATTGAAAGAGCGATGGTACAATTTACCATGTTTTCGTCTTGGAAAGAACTGACTATGCGTTTTTTTTCGAGAGCAATTTCATTGAGTTTATCGAATGTAAAAGGCTTTTTTTTTTCAAAATATATCCCATTTCAGTTGTTTCGAGTTAGTAGGTAAATTGAATGATAATATGCAAATATTTCTAGAAGACGTCATTGGACTAATCACTTTCGCTCTTCCTAGCTTTGCTAATTACTTACTGACGTCGATTGTAAAATCGTTTCTTATTGGCCAGTTTCCTGTTCTTGACGTCAGTCAACCTCACTCGCTATAAGCCAGTTCTTTAGAAATCATATTCTTTTACTGTCCAAACAATCCAAATATTTTAGACATATTGATTGCTTTGGCGAAACTAGTTTTCTCAATAAACTGCAGGTTTTATGCGCGTAAAGGACTAAAGGTTTTGGTTTAAACCCAAATAACAAAGATGAGAAACAATCAAAATAACAACCAACCAACTACAAGAACAACACAACACAACCAACCAACCAACCAACCAACTAAGCACCAGAAAAGGAAAGTAACCAACTAATCAGACAGCCAGCCAATCAACCAACCGTCTTCCAGAACAACACAACACAACCAACCAACCAACCAACCAACCAACGAATCACCATGAAAAGGCAGGCAACCAACTAATCAGCCACCAGCCAGCTAATCAACCAACCAACTTCCAGAACAACACAACACAACCAACCAACCAACCAACCAACGAATCACCATGAAAAGGCAGGCAACCAACTAATCAGCCACCAGCCAGCTAATCAACCAACCAACTTCCAGAACAACACAACACAACCAACCAACCAACCAACCAACGAATCMCCAAAAAAGGCAGGCAACCAACTAATCAGCCATCAGCCAGCTAATCAACTAATCAACCAACCAACTTCCAGAACAACACAACCAAACAACAACCAACTAAGCACCAGAAAAGACAGGCAGCCAACTAATCAGACAGCCAGCCAATCAACTAATCCATCAACCAACTTCCAGGACAGGCAACCAACTAAACAACTAACCAACCAACCAACTTCCAAAAAAGTCATAGCCAGCCAGCCAGCCAACTAGCCAACTAAACAACACAATATCCAATATAAAACTACCCCGACAGCCAACCAACCAATCCTAAAACCGACTACCAGAATAGGCATGCAGGCAACCAACCAACCAATGACAAGACCTTACAAGAACAGACAACCAACTATGTAGCCAACCAACCGACTTCCAGAAAAGTAATAGCTAGCCAGCCCAACCAACTAACGAACCAACCAACCATCCACCAACCATATATTGCGAAAGAATGACATTGTTATCTTTCAGTGTTGAATCATTTATTAACAAATTATAAAAATTATTACAAATTATTAACAATTAATAATTAAAAAATTATTAACAATTATTACAAATGCTTCAGTTGATTTTTACAATAAAAAAGTGAATATATAACTCAAACAGTGAGAACAAATTTTACCTCTTTAGAACTGCCCATATTTCATTAATAATACAACAATCAAATTTTCCTCGTGTTTTCCTTGTGAAACTTTATTTCTTTTCTCGTAGTCTCACCTCCCCAAAGAGGCAAAAGTTAACTCACATTATAAAACTCATTAATATTCATAAGGCAAAACACAATAGAAATCATAGCCCATGAAGAGAGTTGTATATTACATACAGATTTCTTGTTCATTTGCATAAACTTTTACTCTGATTTTCTCAGTCAGATTGAATTTTTTTTCAAAAGTTTCTTTAAAACCTGAGCTAATTTAACTTAACGTTTCATAAGTAATATACAATATTCGCGTGCGATCTGTATGATCGCCCGCTCATATTGTATATATTACATACTGTTTGGTCATCAAAAAAAATTCATGCAAACAGCCTTTGCATCACAATACACCTTTTCAGTTGCTCTTAGGCCTCGACAGCGTGTTAAATATTCTTTTGAATTTGTAGAAATGTGAGCAATGCAAACATTGATATGAATAGTCTCATTTGTCAAATTCAAAAGAATAATTAACTTGCTATCAAGGCCTAAGTTCAACTGAAAAGGTGCATTAAAACAAGAGACCAAAAGAAAGAGATTTCCAACTAAATTCGGTCGACAACGATGTCAGGTTCTTAAAATAAGGTCCCACCATCAAAAACATCACCGAAAGGGAGCTCCTTGTGAAGGTAAAATTGTATAGTGTTTCTCCACTAAATAACCATGTCGGACCTAAGAAAATGTTACAGCGTACAATTTTAGACAGCTCCCAAAATCCCCTTCGGTCTTTGTTTCATCCGATGATATCACCTTTTTGAACAATGACAACTTTTTAAAATTAGTGGTATAATAATATCAATTCAAATGTGCTATTGACCGTTTTCAATACATGATTTTTAAAATATAAAAGACAGGCGACCATACTGGAGGAATGAACAATAGATACTAATGAGAAATCTTTTGTTGAAGTTCCTCCAAGATGGCCGCTGTGACGTAAGTTGAAAAAGAAAATACCTGCCGATTCAACAGGATTTCAAGCAATTCAATATTATTTCAATCATTGTTCTTGCCATATGTTGCAGCCCTTGACATTGTGATGTTTACAATATGTCTACAATACTTGTGTATAAAAAAGTTCGATTATAAAAAGTACTAAAAATTTTAGTTCTAGTGCGCGTCAATTAAATACCAAGGTCACCAATGAAATGATGGATGCTTTTTGGAAATTTYCATCTCTTCTTTCTTATTTTATAACAATGAAAGATGAAATGAAATGATCACAAAAACGATCTCATGATTGCAAAATTAGCACAATTTTCAAATATTACTAACTTGTCTGCAAGTAAAAAAAAAAATGCATTCGCTTTTGGATTTCAGTTGTTTTGGGCTTCCTCTAGTTTTTCTAGAAGCTGCGTCTCTAGTTGAATTGRAACATGACCGACATGTTAATTTGCTCGTTCCTTGCAATATCTTGAAGTTTTGGACTTTTTTAAGCAAAAATGAGTTCATGCGTACTTCCAAATAAGGTAAGATTACCAAATATGGAAGGGAAAGAGGAGGAAAACGAATTTGTGTTTGATGTGAAAATGTTCTGGAAAATGTGCATGGGTGACCTTGATAGACATCTTAGTGCTCGGTAATTACTGATTAATACAAAATTGAGGTCGTCTAAATGTTAGGATATGTAACTATCTAAAACCGTGTAGTAATACGTTGGTCTGTCTGAAATTAGAAGATATTAGATGAAATGTTAGTGATTAATGTGATTAGTACAGTTAGTAGTTAATAGGGCAGAAGAAGAGCAGCTGTCTCAGTGTTTTCAAGTCATTTGCAGTTGATATGGGTAATTTTGTTTGTGCATATTAGTATATAATTATTTCCCATAGCGTGTCGAAAATATCACTCAGAGAACTCGGTAACAGTGTAGCAAACACAATCAAATTTCATCAAAATTATGATTATCTGATCATCGTCATCATCATCATCATTAGCATCGTTAGCATTATCATCATCATCATCATCATTAGCATCGTTAGCATTATCATCATCATCAACATTGACAAAAATAACATAATCATCATCATCATCATAATTGTTATTAGATCATCGTTATCATCATCATAACCACAAAAATATCAATCGTTAGCTCGTAATCTCTCAATAGAGATTACATAAGCTTGAGATGTTAGAATAAATGAATAATAAGTATGTAAAATTAATAATAAGTATGTAACTAGAAAATTAATTAAGTACTTGAGAATAAAAACGCTTTGTGCGATATTTTAACAAATACATTCCACTTTTCTGCGTGCCATCAGTTCACAGATCTTTTCAAAAAAGTGACCAAAACAAAAAAAAGTTCGACACGAAACGAAATAAAATTGAAAAAAAATATGAGATCTCTTAAAATAATACATAGTGTATTGAATTAAGTGTGGTTTTCAAAACCCGTTGAATACACTTTAGCACACTAGACTTTATTTTGGTTGTTTTTCTTTGGCGACRAGTTTGACTTTTTCACTTTGTGTTCACGAGTTTATAAAAACTGAAAACCAACCTACCGAAATGCATTTTTGTTGGAACTCACGTAAGAGATGTAACAAGTAACAAAACTACAATTTATATCCATTAAATGACTTCATTTTAATGCTCATTTRTCCTTGCGATTTTTGCAGCGCGATAATCGYCACTTTGCTGTMGCGCAACTAAAATTGTAGAGAATCGCTCTGCAAAAATCGCAAGTGTAAACGGGCCTTTACGGAACTGAAATAGTCACTTTGAAACAGTGAATGCCCTTATTAGCCGCGATACAACGACAAACTTGTATTTCGGTATTTTGTGGGAAGTGTGACAGCATTCAGTACTGAACTGTCTTCTTGATTAACAGATGTATATCAAGTATAATTAAAAAGACATGATTATGATAATATTATAGATGCTCTTAAAGTTGCAGCTTTCTTTATTATAAGTATAACAACGAAAGATGGACTATAATACTGTAATTTCATATTCACGTCTGCTATGTTTTAACCTCAAAAGTGTATAATATGTCCTTTGGGTTCACTGACAACTCGTGGAAACAAGCGAGAGGATTTTGAAGTGAAAAGACAACAATTAAAATTGGATTGCATTCTTACGTTTTTCCCAAGCGATTGGATAATTTTACACAATACTGAGGCTAATACAAAGCATTTTATAAGCAATATTTATCAATAAAACACACGCAAGAATCAATGTTAGAAAATAGGACATAAAGCTCTTAAAAATCACAAATGAAAAATGTCATGTACTATAATTCGAACTAAAAAATTACTTGATTATTTGTATCAGCGTAAAAGAATATATGGATTTTAATCAAGGGCTTATCGCTATCCATGCTTTAAGCGATGTTTTCTTGATTTTCGTGTTTCGTGGGCATGCCTAGAAATGACTTACTTGTGCTTTCTCCCCCCTGTCTTCCTCATATGCAGCGTTGTCGGCGGGTGCAGGGTAAGTCCTTACTGCTTCACTGTCGGATTTGTACGCGGCGCGAGCGGAGTAACGATCTTCCTTAGGCTTGTTTCTGTTCTTGAAACACTAAGTAAAGAAGTAATTGGTGGATTTATGAATCAGGGGGGGGGGGGCGGCTTGTTCAAAAGCTGGATTAGAATACCAGACATAAAGCCCAACATTGAAATGGTTTTCCACCTAATAATAGATTGCCAATGTACAACGTGACATGCGTTTATTCAGCACTTTCTGCTCGTGTAAAATGATTCACAAAGCATTTTTAAAATTCTATGCGGACATGCGCAAACTGACCTGGATTTATATCAAGACACGTGACAACTGAAACATTGGAAATTGGGCGGATCCAACTGAAATTGTAAGGGGTAGCTAAATGGCTTTAAGAGGAGCTAGACTAAATGTGCTTTATTTGTTATAAACAACATTGGAAATACATGTAATAAATGGTAAACGTTCTATGCTCAAGAAAGAGGGCTACAGCAGCCCTTTGCCCCTCCCTGGATCCGCCCTTGAAATTCCCAGCTGAAATTTTAAGTGGTAGCTAAATGGCTTTAAGGGGAGCTAGACTAAATGTGCTTTATTTGTTATAAACTACATTGGAAATACTGATGTAATAAATGGTAAACGTTCTATGCTCAAGAAAGAGGGCTACAGCAGCCCTTTGCCCCTCCCTGGATCCGCCCTTGAAATATCTTTTTGGCGGAAAACCTTTTCAAGTTTTGTACAATTCATAGAGAACTTACCGATATGGCGACGAGAATTATTACRATAAGAATGAGAATGGCACATGCTACTCCAATACCAATGTACAGTCGTTCTATTTCAGTGTACGCTGTGCTCTTTTCTGGAGCATCATCACCRCTGACTGTGATGTCGGTAATCTTCAAGAAAACAATCAAATATAGTTGGAATAGATTCCTTGCATGTGACGTGGACARCAAAACAATAGATTTTTGCTTTCTTGGGAACTAGAATCTATTGTTTTGTCCTCAAATTGAAGCTGCATTCCCATGCCTGTTTTTTTTTTTGTCTGTCGAGCATACCTAGCAACTTTTATAAGGGAGTCCCYACCCCGTTTACATTTTGTCGTATAATGAATACACAAGGACTTACCTTCCCAACAAACAGATTTCCAATATATCTTTCTTGTTTTTGCTCAAATAAATAATGCAAAACCTTATAAAGCTTTTTAGTCRTTGAAACATCGATGTTGGACTGATCTCTTGGCCCTGTTTCTTTAACTACGAACATTTCCACAACCGCGTGYTTTGCYGAACCCTTTTTGCAGTTTTCTGGAAAGTTATAAAGGACAAGACGACTTGTTGGGAGCGTTTCGCCGTATTTGCCAGTCACTATTTGACCTSCGACATTTTCTTTGAGATATTTCTCGAGTTGACACATCTCCTTCCAAGAAATTGAGAAATGCATTTTGACTAGAATGGAWGGATCTGCTGCATGGCCATCTGAAATTAATAGTGAATATAAATAAAAATAATTACTGGTAAAAGTAATTGTGATTGAAATAGAGCGGATTTCGTATGAGTGGGAAACGGACGGTACTGTACGGTGACCGTAATCGTACTGTAACCAAATTCTAGTGCCCCATTGGTTCACAAAAAATTGTGAAGGCCAGGTTCGGTAACTGTGCGGTAACCGTGCGGTAACGGTGTCCCACTCATACGAAATCCGCTCTATGGTACAATGGTAGCTAAATAATCTTAACTGATACAGGCTCTCAATTCACCATACATTTTCTTTGCAAAGTTTATGATTTTTTTTTTCAGTTTTCAGAACAAAAATTACAAGAAAAAACTACAATTTAAGAATTTATCATTCTCTACTCCCTACTTTATTTATTTTTTGTCTTGTCCTTCTTTCCTGTCGCCCCATTGTGATTCACCAGTAGTTTTTTGACAGCTTTTCTTTCAAATTCCACCTATTTTTTATTTTGTAATTTTTACTTGACCTACCTTTCATGAATGCCAAAATAACTACAGCGATAAAGACTGAACACTTCATTCTTTTAACCTATGAAAATAAAGATTACAAAAATCCAAATCTTCATTTTCCTTGAATTAAGGGGAGCTAAGCTGATTCAAACTGTAATGGAGAAATGGATTGATATGTGTCAAAAGTCGGCTATGACCCGCATGGAAAAGGCTTTTGATTCGTTTAAACTACAAAACAAAGAAAAAAAAGTATTATGTTATGATGCTTTGTAGTTCTTCCCTTGTCAACAAATAGAAAATTACTAGTTTCTCTTCTTTTTCGAGGCTCCACTATAATTTGTATATTGAACATTTCAGACACCATATTGGATTAAAACTGTTGCATCCAAGATGGCGCCTTCACGTAATCTGAGCGAAAATCTTATGCATGTTCTTTCGCGAACAACTTACACCGAAGAATGAGAAACGGCATTGCTGTAATTGCAATGTGGCCAAAAACATCATGGCTTTGAGCTGCTTAATAAGTTTATGAATTTTTCGTGGCAAGGTAATCATAAATTTAGTTTGTATTAGAAGCTTTGATTGAATGCAAAGAAATCCTATACTACTATTATGGCTAGCTCACCCAGCATCTTTTTGGAAGCTTATATAAGGTGTGTTTTGTACTTTTGTTCTTTGAASTTTTTAAGTGTTTGGAAGTATATTTATAAACGTTTGAATTGAAGCGACGAAAACTGTTTTAGGCAGTGTCCAAAATCTGATATAACATACTGAATTTGCCTYATAGTAACTGATTAGAGTAACCCAACCGAGAAAGAACATTTTGACGTCAAAGCGAATTTCATCACTTTGATTAATAATRAAACATACTCTTGATAAAAGTTGCATTTTTTCACTACATTCTTAATGAAAAAACTCCACTAAAGTAGTCCCAGTTTTGTGGTCTTTGATTCGCTGTATTTGATTGAAAATTATAGGACATTTTTTAATTAAAATTCTGTTTGACTGTGCATAAGATTATAATCCACACGCCTCTGCAYTTCTGACACTTCTTAGTAACTTTACGAATACTTTCAAATCAGCAGATTTAAATGAGTACGGCTTTTACAATTATGAACAAAATGCTTGAAATTATAGACTATTTCTATAGACTATTTCTAAGTGAAACACTACTTAGAATCATGTGGAAAATCGTTTTCATCTCGATTAATGGAAACTATATTCGATGCTAAAGGAAAATTTCTTAAACTGACTTTTATATAATCGGAACATAATTAACCCCTCTTGGCTATATAGCTTGGCTATATAGCTATAAGCTTGGCTTTCTTAGCTTACTGTCATGACCAAGTATGATTATCAACTTATTCGAACGTACGTAGAGTTTTTACTCGAACAACGACCATTTTTACAGTTTAAAGGCAACTAGCTATTTGGTTGAAATTGCAGCTCAAAATCGTGTTTATTTCGACATATTTCGATACTTCTAGCTTTAAAAACCGAAAAGAAACAAAAAAAATCTTTCTATGTATAATTAGACGATGGTTTGCTGATATCGTAATGCCCGAAATAAGCTAAAGAATTCAATGTTTGCTTCTTGTACACCGTTATGTATGGCTTAACATACTGAACTAACAATGTGATTCTTACCTTTTTCAAAGCGATCGTTTTCGTTCTGAAATTTGAAGCTGTTAGTATCAATCAAAGTTTCTCAACTTCTAACGATGAACCTCAATGAAGATTAAATTTATTTGCGTCGAAAAATGACCCGCATATTGTTCATAGGAAACAGAGCAGAACCGTTTGTAAACGCACCAACGATTGAGTTATGAATGCAAAAATTAACCTTTGTTAATATTCAGGATCACAATGACTGCGTCAATGATGTAAAATCTGAAGCATTTTCAATCAATTTTGTAGCTTTATGATTCTCATATTAAAAAGTCGCCCTTTTTAAGAAATAAATGAAAGTTTAATTTACCAGCGATAMGTTTCAAACTTCAGTAAATTTATTAAAATTTTTTAAGGTTTTTCCTTGTAACTCCCTAGGGGGTAGGGGGTCGGGGAATATTTCTGAAGGGTGTATTTTTAGGCCCAGTCTACACGGAGCTTTTCCTTTAAATCATTGAAAAATATATTGATGTGCGGAAAATTCGCAGTTTTTATGAAACATCGGCAATCCTGAGACTCTTATGACTTCATAAAGGTATAAATGACCCAGATATCAGAATATTTTCTCCATTATTTCACACTAAATATTTTATTGGTTTACATATAATATTTTCCTCACTTCATGACCATAATTTATAACGTTGTATTATAATTTACATCCCAAAATTGATCACTATTTTACTTATACAAACGTACACTGCAGCTGAATTTTATACCCATCATTCAATTGTTCAATATTAAGTTCATAATCGTATGCATATATACCTAAACACATAACAACACAGGTAGCCCAAACTATGCATTTTCGTGTTTGACTTCCAGCAAAATCATAACGACTGAAATATATAAAATGCAATAACATATACAGCTATTTGCAATAATTCTGACCCCCCTACACTAATATTCATATATATCAAAGTAGCCTTAGAAATTATGGGATACCAATGCTGATATCAGTCATGATATCCCATAATATTTAAGGTCAGTTTGATATATATGAAATATGGCAGAGGGGGTCAGAATTATTGCAAACAGCTGTACATCAGTGTGTCGCGTTTTTCTTTACATTCTGTGGAGTTTCAGGTCATTTGCTTCAATATCGAGCGTTTTATGTCTGTTGCTTCCAGTGTCCTCTTCTCAAAGGAACCTACACTATATTGCATAGATTGGGCTGCCTGTGATACCTATGATAGCAATGAATGTCATATAGACTTACGACCTTGCATGTATTAGCAGTGTGATTAGTAAAATTAGAATGTGATGACACTCTGAAAGAAAAAGAAAAAAATAATCACTATACTTTCCTTAGTTAAAATTACAATCACATGCTAACGGTAGAGGAGTGTGATTGTGTTCCTCAAGAATAAAGGTGTTTCTTCCAACAATACTGATCGACGGTGGAGAAAATTTAATGCATGCAGCACAGGAAACCCAATAAAGGAAAAAAGTGAATAAGAAAGCCTAATCATGAAGCTGTTTTTCCTTACCGTTTTTTCCATACAGGCCTCAGGCGTCTCTGGCCTGTTCAGTTCAACTTCAGGCATTTGCTCTTGTCCATCAAAATCAAGATCRTTCAGTGTAGTGGTAGTTTTGCTGATAAAGGAGTCTCCTCTGGAGACGAAATCCCGTCGTGCTGCGCACTCATTGGATTTACTCTTGAATCGCGACAATTTGCCTTTGAAATACTAAAATAGAATTTTTTTATTATGAGAAAACAAAAACACTTGAAAATGAAAAGCAAAAACTGAGAAAAAATGAAATGGAAAGGGAAAAAGAAAAACAAGGACAACAAAGCGGAGAAAATATGAAAAAGGAAAAGGAAACGAAAAAAAAAATGAAAAGCTAGGATAAGAAGAAAAAAGATATTGAAACAAAGCAAATAAAAAAAATAAAATAAAAAATAAATAAATAAAAAAAAACAAAATAAAAAAAATAAAATGAAAAAAATGAAAAAAAATAAAAAAAGGAAAAAAAATAAAAATAAAAAAAAAATAAAAAAAGCAAAAAAATATAAATAAATAAAATAAAAATAAATAAAAAGATAAAAAAAAATGAAAAGGAGTCATGAAAAAAAGTTTAACGCTCTTCAGATCATAAACCATTCCTTACCATCATCAAATAGCAGATAACGACTACAAAAAAAAAAAATAAAAAAAGCAAAAAAATATAAATAAATAAAATAAAAATAAATAAAAAGATAAAAAAAAATGAAAAGGAGTCATGAAAAAAAGTTTAACGCTCTTCAGATCATAAACCATTCCTTACCATCATCAAATAGCAGATAACGACTACAAAGGTCAAAACAAGGCCAATCCCCACTCCAATCCCGATACGCTCAGTCTCATTCAACCCTTTTGTTGTTTTGTGTGCTTCTTTGCCGAGTAGCTCAACCTTTTCGACCTAAAGAAACCATCAAATCTTCAATAACAGTTGAATAGTACAGATATAACACAGCATATTCGTAACTATTGASATTCATGATGAACATCTTTAAAGTGTCTTCATGTTTATCGAGTTTCAATAAAGTTTACTTCTTACCACCTTTGAGGTGTTTTCCTCCTCCATCAAACGATTTTAATCCAAAAAATAAAAAAAATGCGTAGCTGTTTGTTTGAATATAGAGACCTAGGTTGATCTTTTTGATTAGTCATCATAATTTGGATAATATAAACATCATGCATTACCAAGCCCTCCTGAATAAGGAGCGATTCATTAGAATTTTGAGGAGGGGGCTGGAAGGTTTTGAAAAAAATTTTCCTGCAAGGCAAAATTTTGAAAAATCTCCACTAACGAAAGCTCTTGCAAATTTAAAAAAAAACTAAACATTACAAGCGCGCGCCTGAAGTGCAAAAAAAAATTCTTGCACGGACAAAATCATCCAGTCCTCCTCCCCACCCCCCCACCCCTCTCCTCAAATTGGAAAATGGATCGCCCCTAACGCCCCTTTCGCCTTCTCTTACACGATTATTTGAGCAATTCTGGAAACGAAAACTAGTAGAAAGGACCAAGAGTCGACTTAATATCAGTTCATGCACAAAAAAAAAATTCTAGACAAGGTTCCAGGAAACTTCAAAAGAATAGAGTAATAGAGTCATATATTCTTAGTTAGTTGATAACTAAATCTTATTTAGCAATACATATTAAGAATTGTTTCATGCTTATGTGACGTGCACTCTACATTAAAATTCTTCATTGTTTCCCCGGAACCTCGTCTTCAGGTGTTTTGCATATGATTACTGAAAGTCGACCATTGCAAGACAGCACCCGACTATACCAAAGTGATAAATTTTAGTCACCTTTTGCACAAACATAGGTCCAAGYAGCACCATCCTCTTAGCCTCCCAGAAATGATACAATATGTCGAACGCCCGCTCTGTCATCTTCCGATCAACTTTCTTCTCGTTGGAATGAACACCAATGTAGAAGTCAACAGCAGCTTTCTTGATGTTGTCGTTACCTTGCACACACTCCTTGTTCTTGTTAACGTATTTAATTCGAGAACTCGGTACCAGGTACACTAGATYGTTTCTTTGTTCTATCAGCAAATCCGAGAGACTGTGTTTGAAGAGTTCCGACATGTAGCAGAAATGCCTCCACGCAAAATTGAAGCTGATTCTCACGAAGAAAGTTGGTTGATCACTTGACGCTGAGAGGAAAAAAGCACTGCTAAGGGACAGGTCAAACAGTACGACATAAGCGGAAGCAGAAGGCAAGAACAAAAGAGAAGACAAAAAAAATGAAGTTAAGCATGCATTGACATAAGCACAGTCATTGGCATAAGGTAAAACATAAAATAATTAAAAACAAAAGAATAAACAAAGAAAAACGCGTTCCTTTTGTCTTCTTCTTATGGTTATGTCGCAGTTTGATACGCTGTGTAGTTGAGTTAAAGCAATAGAGCGGATTTCGTATGAGTGGGACACCGTTACCGCACGGTTACCGCACAGTTACCGGACCTGGCCTGCACAATTTTTGTGAACCAATGGGGCACTAGAATTTGGTTACACCACGATTACGGTCACCGTACAGTACCGTCCGTTTCCCATTCATACGAAATCCGCTCTAATTACAACATGAAACGAATTGAAATGTTGTTGGATCCGACTCAATGTTACCCACCATTTTCTTTTCATAGCCATGTTATCAGTTACTTATTTGAAAAAAAAAGGTTGGAAGCACTACAAGTTGCCACAATTCATGAAAGATCAGAGAAACTGCCACAAAACTCGAAGCACTATCTTCTTAGCCACGACTAATACATTTTCCAAATGTCTTACCTTCAAGAGGAATAGGCTCATCTAGGAGTAGAACAGCGAAACATAGTAAAACGATACTAAATAAACCCATGTTTCTTGCGTTACCTCACCTATTCAGAATATGATAAATGTTATTAAACTACAAATCTACTCACGGACTATTGCAATCCAACTTCCAACATCAAATAGCAAACAGTTTTGAATTAGCTTGAATTCATCCAAATCACACACCTTTTTACTACATACACAACATTCACGACTGAATAAATGACCTGTTCACAACTTATTGGAAATTTTGGTGTTTCGTACTGCAAAACCTACCTTGGATGCGTTTTACTTTTACTCAATCTAATAATGTTACTTAGCCCTCGATTGTCAGTTCGAAATGAAATATCTGATATTTGCATAAATCTTGCAACACATCATACTATCATAGTCCATCACGATGGAATGCTGTATTCTCTTAAAGWAGGYGTTGTGTCCTTTCAGTCGTTTCAATCGTCCCAAAATACGTTTTATATTGTTAATCCTCTTGAGGAAATTATAACAATGTCAGTAAGATCGCRTTTTTGKGCCAATGGAACGTTTGAACGATAAGATGGCATTCACGTCTTAATGTCATCATCCAACAATTATTCATATTCCGCTATGACGTCACTCATATGATGCAACATTTATCAAGATAAAATTGACGTCAGCTATATACATAGATATCCAGTAAATATTTAAACGACTTTATAATGATTCTACCCTACGTACTTTATTTAAAAATCTATAAACACAACTACAAAAATATAACAATTTTTCATATATAGAACTTGTCTAATAATGCTATGCAATAATTGTAATACAACTTGTTGATATATATTGAAGAATAAGGTAAGACTAAATCTAACTAATATGCATCTAACGCGTGCACGAGTATTCCTACAAGATGGCCAAACTGACAAGCATAGTCCTAGAGAAAAATTGATCGTTTTCACCCATTCCCATGAGATTCAAAAGATAAAAGACAGCCGGCCATGTTGGAGGAATGAACAATAGATTCTAATGAAAAATCCTTTGTTAAAGTTTCTCCAAGATGGCCGCTGTGACGTAAGTTGAAAACGAAGAACAGGTCGACCGCTACCGTTAGAACGAAGTTTGTAATTGATCAACAGAAACAAAGAATACTCCAGTTTTGAATTCTCTTTTCTGCAAGCTCAGCTTCAATCAAGCATAAATTTTTATTGTCTTTTTTGTACACAGAGTGTCTGCATTACAATAGATTCTCTGTTGAATAAAAGAATATATTACATGCTTTCGAGGTTAAGGCTGCACAAATAAGATCTTGAAACTGGAGTATTGTAGGATTATGTTAGAAAATACCTATATTATTCTAAGGACATCTTCGTTTTTGTTTTGCCTGTATCTGTTTGAATTTCATCAAATTACAATTACCTCAGGTGAGGGGGCTACAGCACCTTACCCCCTCTATCTCCCCCCCCCCCCCCCCCCCCCCCCCCCCCCCCCCCCCCMCCCGTTTCCCTGGATCCGCCCTTATAACTGAGTGTACTTTTGCAAAAATTAGAGCAAAGGAGCTGGAAGCCCTAATATATATATACAAAGAAACTCAGCTAAACGCTTCGAATGAGCACTATGAAAAATTATTCTTCAATATTAAGTTTGTGTACAAAGAAACTCTATATAAAAGTGATAATAATGTCATACGTTTTAATTCTATCTAGGGTTCTCAAATTAATATTTTTTGAGCTAATTTAGTACATCTAAAATGCTTTTCTTTCTCTTGATTGATGGTACAGAGATGGGATTCGGTCACGAGACCTTTTAATATATTTTTTCCATTCACAGAGGCGAGGTCTGGAGATTGCGCTTTTATAGACTTGTATTTTCTTCACTGGGCTAAGTAAGGAAAAAATAAAACATTACATTTGTCATCTGAAGTCGAGGTTATGCTCGAGAGCCTGTCAAAATCAAACAATGAATCATCAATCGATCAATCAATAAGTCAGTCAGGTAAGCAACCAGCCACTCGGTTTATAGTTAAAGTACGGCTTCACTAATAGGCAAATGTCCATTAATAGCTATTTTTAGATTAAGCAGAAAATGTGAACATTATAAATCGACTCACCGAATCGCTTTGGTCGTCATAGCCAGCATTGGTTTCAGCGGTAGGAGTCTGGGTCTGGTCTTCCGTTTCAGCGGTTTTTGTGTCATCCACTTTCTTTTCGTCTATCTTCACATCTTCTGTATTTGCTGGATGAAAGAAGGGCGTTTTTTAGAGACCAAAGTAATCCCCAAGTATCAAACAATCAATCAAKCAAGCAAGCAAGCAATCATATACCTTTCTTCGATTCACCCTCATCGTGAACAAAAGCAGGATTCTCGACCGACGGGCCTTCCGTTGCTCTATCGATATCTAGTTCGTTAATCGAAGATTTTTCGGACTCCGCTAATGGGCAGATGTCTTTTTTCTCACCGTCATCGCTTACACCACCATCTTTAGCGGAGTTGTATTGAGGAGGAACCATAATTTCAGCTTTAGTTTCATTAATCGGTTCCAATTCAATATTACCATTCGCAGCTTCCTCTGCCATTACCTCTTCATCGTTAAGCTGGTGACTATTTTGACGTCGTGACCTTTTGATTGCAGCCTAAGAAAAAACAAATGAGCAGGGGAAATAAGACTTCGATGTCTATACATCAACTAATTGGCATAAACTTTGAAGTCGCAAGAAAACTCCCAAATTAATAAAACACTATTATTGGTAATTTTTGAGAATCCGAAGACCATACATAGAAACGTAGGAGGAATTGGGCTCCGCAATCTCTTTTTTTTTAAGTTTTGCAAGCAAATGTATCCGCGGGTGGTTGTCAAGTCTTGATAAACGCTGAGGTAATTGTTCACAGTACATTTTGTAGTTTTGAAAACATGCTTCGAAGAGGAAATACATTGCAATTGCCAGAGTGAGGTCATAAAACTTTGCCAGTGAAACAAAACTTGACTATTCAATTAGACACGCACAAAAAACAATGAAATTAAAGCGTACTAAGTACGCGTATTAGTATAATTCGATTTCACTTAGTTTTACTTCATTCCAAGTACTGGGAACTGCTTACCCTGACAACAAGGATTAAAACAGCGATGAGAATAATGACAGCAGCTGCGCCGACACCCATCAAGAGTCTTTCGTTTTGGTTAAATAACAAAGATTTTCTGGCTGTTGGCTTCTCTTCGCCTTTAATTTGCAGAGATTCGACCTTAAAAGAAAGAGAGAGAGTGAAATCACTAGATCCGCGAAACAAAATTTGACAGCTTTGATAGCTAAATGGACACACTATTGAGAAAGGAATGCAAATTGTAAGAAAAATACTTCATTTGGCTTATATTACCTTTCCCTCAAAATCTGGATGTATCTCTCCCATTTTGTTGTTCTTTACATAATCATCAAGAAGTTCATAGGCCTTGTTTGTTAGTTGTGCATCAGCTTGCTCACTGTCTTTTCCGGCCTTGACGTAAAATTCCACCTTGACGTTCTCAGAGTCGTCCATGAGGAAAGCGACGTTGGGCCGACATCGTAGGTTAACAAACACTATAAGAGTTGGAGATATCCCGATCTTTTCGGCAAGATTCTTGCGGAATGTTTCCTTCTTTAGGCAGAAATTGTCCAAAGACATTTTGAATATAACAATGACTGTTACTGGTGGGGAGTACTGAGTTGTAGGTATGATTGTAGTTCCTTTTATTTCTACTGCCTCAACCTGTAATTAAAGTGATAAGAACTGACTTGCTTGATATCCTAAAGGATTGTTGACATGGATAAATTCATCTTGTCATTAACAGATGAATGGATGAGATGAACAAGTGCGCAACGAAGAATGAAATGAATAAGTGGGATGTACGGATTGTGTATCAAATGGTTTGATAATCTGTTAGGGTGGAAGCTGGACCAGAGGAGGATCGGTTATTTTCTTCTAGTCGTGGTGCAGAACTCACCAAGAGGGTTTATACACACCACAAAAACTCACAAAGAGGCATAAAATACGGAGTACATAAAACAGGTCAAGTGCTTAGGAGTGTATAGGTGTGACCTACCTGCATCCATCATCTAACGGACGAATAGCACGGATAGAAAAGATATTATAATTAGGATTCCTACCTTTCCCTTAAATTCTGGAACTATCTCTTCCATGTTTTTGTCTTTGTGGTACTTATTTAACAGTTCATATGCTGCAACAGTTTGCTTTTTATCCAATTCTGAACTTTCCTCTTTGGAAACATAAAATTGAACGGTGGCACTTTCCTGAACGTTGGCACAAGGTGAGGGAATATTGATAAAATTGATTCTAGATTCAAGAACTTTATTAGAGCCAACTTGCTTACTCAAAAGAGCTGCAAGTTTTTTTTGAAACGTGTTACTTAACGTGCAAAATGTTTCCCATGGCATTGCAAAAGTTATTTCAACATATATCGGAGGATTATATGAACTTGCTGTGGTCGAAGATGGAAATTTAGTTGCTGTTGTAGTTGCATTCATTTTCATGGTCGGTGCCATTGTTGTACTTGTTGCATTGACTTCAGTAGTCGGTACCAACGTTGCATTAAAAACAGTGGTCGGTGCCTTGGTTGCATTCGTTACAGTGGTGGGTGCAGTCGTTGTATTCGTTGCATTAAAAACAGTGGTCGGTGCC